GGGCCAGAGGGCCTTGGGCTACACAGCTGTGGTGACCATTTCGGCCAAGTCCGAGACCCCCGAAGCGGGAACGGACTTGAGCCAAAATGGCTACGGAAGGAGGAGGAGGAGGAGGAGGAGGAGGAGGAGGAGGAGGAGGCGGGGCCAGACCTCGTGGCATCGACCACCCGCCCGTCGGCGGCACGCGGTTCTTTCTCGCGAATGGTTTGGGCATCGACCACCCCTTGTCAGGGGCCACTCCTGCCACCACCACCGTGGCTGTCCTGGTGGCGCCGACTGCCGCGCGAGGACCTGGCGAGCTCGAGCCAGCGGAGAAGTCTCTACAGCTACCCACCTGCATGGTTTCGGCCACCCCTCCGTCGAGGGCATTCAGGCGCGGATCGGCCCCGAAGCAGCAACGGCCATCCGCCTGTCGGCGGCTGTCAAGAGGGGTTCGACTCTGCACTCCGCCCGCGTGGCGTCGGCCACCCCCCCGTCGGGGGCACGCGAATGCGGATCGCCCCCGAGGCTGGCATTGGCCACCCGCCCGTCGGCGGCTGCCTCGGGGGGTTCGGCCCCGCTGCTCGTCTGCTCGCACCTCCAGATAAGCGCAAGCCCCGTCTTGGGATGCCACCCCAACAGCAACTTGCGCCACCTGGCTCCCAAGTTGGAGATGTACTTTCTCGAGCAGTGGCGCTCCGATGTCGGTGTCCCTCTGCATGTCTTGAGGAGCGCAACGGAAGCGCCCTTGCCCGCCCGCGCCACGCAGACCTCGCAGACCACGGTAGGTCCAGCCCTGCGCAAGCGGTGCTCGAAGTAATGGACCACCTCGTCTCCCAAAGCCCATGGCGTGGGTGGCGGATGCGCCAAGGATGGCCCGTCCTCCGATCCACCAGCAGCCGCCAGCGAGCGGATGGCCGTCGCACCCTCGGACGACAGCAGCAGGGCGCCAGCGCTCCAAATGATCGATGATGGCCGCCACCCGCAGCTTGGAGAGGTCGGTGGGCTCGCAAGGCGACCTCGCGAACTGTTTCCACGCGGTGCCAGGCGATGCCGCCGAGCACGTGCCGCAAGCGCTGCGCATGGCCATGCCTCGGCCACACAGCTGGACCAACGCGTGCCGGATGATCGCGACTAGGGCGGTGGCCCGAGGGGCAGGCGCCGGCGCGTGGCGCTGCGACTGCAAGCACTTCTCGACCTTGAGCGATCGCCTCATGGCCCGGCCGATGTAGGAGGCCACACGCCTGTAGTGCTGCAGCTCCACGCCGTAGAAGTCCACGTGCACCTGCGAGACCGCGCGCTGCATGGTCCCCTGCTTCGCGAACTAATCCGCCCACGCGTTACCAGCGAGCAGCGCGCGGAGGCCGCGGTCTAGGCGCGTCTGGATGTCATTGTGCGCCGGGGTCCAGACTTTGCCAGGGCGATGCGCCATATTGTTTCGCAAATCTTGTAAAACATAGATTGCTAGAAACACACTGTTGGGGGTTTGGCCTGGTGTGTGCACTCTTCAAACAAACATGTGTGGATGCGTTCCCTCTCGTACTCTTCCCACTCCTGCTCCCCCTCCTCTTACTGTTGCCGATATCGTTCTCGTAATCGTTCTCGTCGGTGTCGTCATTTTTGTCTTCGTGATCATCCCGTCGTCAACACAATCGTTGTCCTCGTCATCGTTATCTTCCTCGTCGTCGTCCGAGTCCTCTTCCTCATCCTCGTCGTCGCCCTCGGCGTCGGCGTCGTCGTCGTCGTTTCCGTTTTCGTCGTCGTCGTCAATGTCGTCGTAGTCGGTTTCGTCGATATCGTCGTCGTGTTCGTTGTCGTCGTCTTGTCGTCGTCCTCAACGTCGTTGTTACTTGTCGTCGTTCCCCAAATCGATGGCATGCATCGGTTACTTCGTTGTAGAGCGGAGATCACGCCCGCGCCCAAAATTGGCGCGGGCCTCAAGTGCCCTCTGGGGGGGGGAAACGAAGCTCGATGAGATCGAGCAGCGCGGGAAGGATGAGATCGAGACTAAACCCGAAGACGAAGACCAAGCGGCCAAGGGCGAGACCTCTGCGCCCGGCCTCCCCCGGGGCCGCGGTCCTAGTCTGGCTGCGGACACTGGGGCGCGGTGCGACGAAGATGCCAGAGCCGGCACCTGCTCCAACACGCGGCAGCGACCCGGCCAAGGACCGACCCTGCCGGCGGCGAGGAGTGGGTGCTCAACTCGGCCCTGCCCCCCGTCCCACCCTCCTGGTCGCACCTGCTCCTCGGTCGGGCCGGCCCCTCCCCGTCCGCGCCCCAGCAGCAGCCTGGCGCGGGGAGGGGCGCCGACCCCGCGGCAGTGCCGCGGCAGTCAGGGTGCGGGGGCCGCCCGCGCGACAGCGCCGCTGCGGCGGCGCGGCCGCCTCCTGCGCGGCTGGGCGGGGCCCAGGCATCCGCGCCCAAGCAGCAGTCGGCGGCGCGGCCGCCTCCTTCGCGGCTGAGCGGGGCCCAGCGTCCGCGCCCCAGCAGCGGCAGGGCGCGAGGTGGGGGCGCCCCTGCGGCAACGCCGCGCAGCGGGGCGCGGGGGGGCCGCCCCCGCGACGGCGCGGCTGCGGCTGGCCGATTGTCGACCGCCGCAACGCGCGTGAGCCCCGGCCGCGAGGGGCCAGCTGGTCGATGTCCAATCGCGATTGATCCGCTTGATCCTCCTCCTCCTCCTCCTCCTCTTCCTCCTCCTCCTCCTCCTCCTCCTCCTCCTCCTCCTTCTCACAAAAGAGTAAGACGAAGGGGCGGCACGGACATGAACTTTCGAACGTCCGCGCGGATCTCTTGGAACGGCGCTAGGATCCCCTCCATGGCGCGCGGAACGCATCTTGGACGCACCGCTCTTGTTTCTTCGAGCTCCGCTGGAGACGGGGGGGTGAGGTAGAGGAGGTAGAGGAGGTAGCGGAGATGAGGAGGTAAAGCAGGAAAGGGTTGAGGCTTAGGAGGAAGAAGAGGTAGAGGCAGGATTTAGGATATCCGCCGGGCCCCTTGTGGGGCCACCAGGCTGTAGGCGCGGGTTCGCAGTTTCCTGTACCAGTTGTAGCTTGTAGTTTCCAGTGTTACAGTTCTGCTTCTTGCTGGTTACTGTAACTAGTTGACTTCTTGCTGGTTACTGTAACTAGTTGATTGACCGCGCGAGGGGGGGGGAGGCCCAAACAAGACTTTTAGCGTCCCCTGGGCGCGTTGTCTGAATTGCTGGGGGGGCTCGAAATCGACACCCCTCACGCAGATCCGCGGGGTCAGGGTCCAAAAACACATGGGATTTGCCACATTTCTGAAATTCGGTGCCACCCCTCACGCAGATCCGCGGGGTCAGGGTCCAAAAACACAGGGGATTTGCCACATTTCTGAAATTCGGTGCCACCCCTCACGCAGATCCGCGGGGTCAGGGTCCAAAAACACATGGGATTTGCCACATTTCTGAAATTCGGTGCCACCCCTCACGCAGATCCGCGGGGTCAGGGTCCAAAAACACATGGGATTTGCCACATTTCTGAAATTCGGTGCCACCCCTCACGCAGATCCGCGGGGTCAGGGTCCAAAAACACAGGGGATTTGCCACATTTCTGAAATTCGGTGCCACCCCTCACGCAGATCCGCGGGGTCAGGGTCCAAAAACACAGGGGATTTGCCACATTTCTGAAATTCGGTGCCACCCCTCACGCAGATCCGCGGGGTCAGGGTCCAAAAACACAGGGGATTTGCCACATTTCTGAAATTCGGTGCCACCCCTCACGCACATCCATCGCAAGGCGTGGTAACCCAAACTGCGAGTACTCCCTCGGCCCTTTAATCCCAAGGTGTGGTAACCAAGCTCGTAAACCATACACGTCTTACCAATCGCCCTGTGTGGTAACCCCTCTTGTGATCAGTTGGTTTTGCCGATTGCGAATCGGCCTCGCATGAAGTTCCGATACTGCTGCACGACAGCGCCAAAGCCTCATGACTTAGCTCTTCCATGGCCCATTCTCCGAGAGAGGGGGCCGGCGGCAGAGGGCGAAGCCCTTACGGATTAAAGGGAGGAGGAAATAGAAGCAGTAACAGAAATACATGTCCCAAATGTGCACTGTCATGAAGTTGCTGTGTACATTATTCAAACATGCACACCCCTGGGGACAAGGGGTCCAGCGCAGATCCGAGAGATCCGCGCGGACCTCCGTGTCCCTGCCGTCTCCATCCTCCGCCTCGTTTTTGACCAACCCCGCTCCCAAACGGGGAACTAACGATACAAAGCCGCCCGCGGGTGGCCCACAAAGGTCAGGCTGCTTGACGACGAAGCACACGGTAGACGTCGGCTTTGACTAGAAACAAAAGTTGGGTACTGCCTCGTTTTCGCTCCCAGAGGGTGGTGGGATTCGGTTCGGTGGGCACGGTGGGGCCCAGTGAGACCTGGTGAAATCCAGTGGGGCCTGGAGGGGTCCCGTGGGGCCGTGTGGCCTGGTAAAGGTTCAACCGGATTGGCCTAACAGGTCCGAGCGGCCAAATCGAACCCGTTGGAACCGGCCCGCCGCGGCCCGCCGCTGAAACCGAACGGGCCCGAACTGCACCCGTCCTGGGGCAAGGTGATGACAGTGAGAGAAGAACTATTGGGAACGGAGTGCAGGGTCTGGAACCCTGTGGAACACCAGCTCCGGCTTGGCCATGGATATCACCGCCACCCCAATCCGATACACAATGATCCAGGACCTCAAGCCTCCTGGACAGATTTCTTAACATCCCCCCCCCACCGTAGTAGAAGCCTCCCGAATGGGGTCTGAGTGAATGCGGTCGGAGGATCGTGCCGCGCCGATGCATCGGCGATGCATGCGCGATGCATCAGCTACGTCAGCGAAGAGAAAGTCGGTGATGAATCGGCGATGCGGCGCGGTCCACCGAGCCACAGGCAGCCTAGACTCGGGCACTTTTCCTCCCCCTCCTCCTCCTCCTCCTCCTCCTCCTCCTCCTCCTCCTCCTCCTCCTCCTCCTGGCATTCCATTCCCCGCCTCCCCGCGGCTCTCTCGCGGGGCGGCGCCCACCGCTCGAAGCGGCCCTCGTTCTGGTCGCGGCCGCCCAGGGCGGCGACGGCGGTGCTTCCTGGAGGGCCCCATCGGCGTCCGACGGTGTGGTGTCTCGGTGCGCGACGCCCACGGTCAAGAGTGCTGGCTCAGCGTGTCGCGGCGGCGGCCCTGGCGACACGCCATGCCCCGCGAGCCGACAGCGTGTCCCTGAGCTCCGCGGGTCGGGAGGACGGGAAACGATCGGGATCTTGGCGCTCGGGGGCCAGGGCGTGGGTAGCGTGTCGTGCCCAAGCGTGGTGGGCCAAAACTGGCGGAACCACGCGCCAAGCCAGAATTCCTGGCCGCAGGCCCAGACATGCAACGCCCTGACAAAAAAATGGGGGCGGAGATGTTTCGCAGATGTCTGCCTCTGGAGCCCGCTGGCGGGCCCCCGAGGCTGCAACAAAAACGACTCGGGAGGAAAAAAACAACCCTGGGGAGATGGTCGGGACCTCCAGGGACCGCGCACTGAACAACATCAAAACATCACATGTCTGGGTCGGGCGCCCGGCCTGTAACCGACCCCTTCCGTGACGAGCCTGTTTCGCGACGACTCCTTTGCCCGCGAGATGATCCTCAAGTCACCTGACCACGTTTTAGTGCGAAACGACTGGGCTGTCGCGGAAAAAGGTCTGCCCGGCAGGGGTGGGTTAGACCGACCCTGGCCCCGGGCGTCCGCGGACGCCCCCCGCGGGCAGTCTTTCTGTGCCCGGCTCTCATGTTGGATGGCCCTGGGGCCCGAGAGCGGCCGTCGCGGTGCAAGTTGGAAAAGCACGCCGCGGTTGTGTCTCCCACCCCCCAGGGTGTCAAAGGTGGTTCCGTTTCCAAGTTTGGCGCCGAACGGCTGGCGCTTCCACGGGAAGAGAAGCGGCGGTGCACAATTCAGGGATTGGGCTTTTTTAATGACGTATCGGCGGGGTGTTGGGCAGCGACCCCTCCTCCACGCCCCACATGGCCCGAAGAGTTCTTATTGTGACAGGTTGTGCGTTACACATAGTGTACGCAGAAGCTACAACTGTGAGTCGACAGCTGGCCATAGAGGCCAGGTGGAGCCCCGCCGACCAACGTTAGGTCGGGCGTGTCCCCCTACAGGCGGGTTTTGGGCGAAAGATGAGAAATACAGAAAAATACCCCCCCCATACCCCAAAACGATCTAACACAGTTATTTTAAAAATGTCCCCAGACTATCTTTTTACTATTCTGGGATATTCCTCCTGTAGAGGCCGGGACAAGCCCGACTCGAGACCGACGGAGTCTCTCGCAAGTGAGAGGGGAGAGAGAGCTCGCCCGTGGAACACTCCCCTAAAGGGGAAGACGGGGGGGGCCCTTAGCTCCCTCCCTCCGTTGGACCCCCTCTGCCTGAGGCCCCCCCCCACCTCCCCCCGTTTCCTCCGCACCTCGAAAACTATATACTTCACCCCCCTTACTCCCCCCTTCTGCGCTCCGGATGCTACCCCGCCCCCTCCCCCCTTTTCCGAAGGGAAAGGGGAGCTCAGATCCCGCCCGCCCCCCTTTGAACCCCTCCTGCCAGAAGCCCCCGGCCCTCCCCCCTTGTCTTCCGCCCTGCGGTATCTCCCCCCCCTCCCCCTCTTTTCGCGTTCCGGAGGCTGCTCCCCCTTCCCTCCCTTTCCAGGGGGGGGGGTGGGGCTTAGCTACCCCCCCCTGCCGGAAGCCACCCCACTCCCCCCCTTTTCGCTAAAGAGAACGAGCGGCTTGGCTTGGGCGCCGAAAGCCACAAGGGTGCCGAAAACCAACAGAGCGCCGAAAACAAAATGGCCACCGAAAACAGCAAAAGCAACAACAACCAAGCGCCCGAAACCGAAAGGGCGCCGAAAACCGAAGGGGCGCTGGAAATTCAAAGGTCGTTGAAAACCGAAGAACGCCGAAAACCGAAGGGGCGCCGAAAACAAAAAAGGCGTCGACAACCAACAGGGGCGCCAACCCAAGAGGGGGCCGACAAACAACGGGGCGCCAAAGAAACAAACGCGCCGAACACAACAGGTTGAAAACCAAAGATGCGCCGAAAACCACAAAAGGCGCAGGAAACCAGCGGGGTGCAGAAAACCAAAAATGCACCGAACAACGACAGAGTGCCGAAAACTACAGCGGCGTCGAAAACCAAAAGGACGCCGAAAACCGAAGGGCGCCGAAACCCACGGGGGCGCCGAAAATCAACACGTCGTCGAACTTCAAAGGGGCGCCATAAACCAAAGGGGCGCGGAAAACCAATGGAGCGCCCAAAACCAAAGGGTCGCCGAAGGCCAAAAGGGCACCGAAAACCAATGCGGCGTCGAAAACCCATAAGGCGCCGAAAACCACAGGGTCCCGACAACCAAAAGGGCATTAAAAACCAACGCGGCGCGGAAAACCAAAGATGCGCCGAAAACCAAAAGGGCACCGAAAACCACGAGGGGGCCGAACACCAGAGAGGCGCCGAAAACCGACAGGGCGCGGAAAACCAAAGGGGCACCGAAAACCAACGGGGCGCCGAAAACCAAAAGGAGGCAGAGGGCACCGAAAACCAGCTGGCGCCGAAGACTAAAGAGCGCCGAAAACCAGAGCGGCGCCGAAAACGGAAGGAGCGCCGAAAACCACGGTGGTGCCGAAAACCAAAGGGGCGCCGAAAACCAAAGGGGCGTCGAAAACCAAACCAGAAAAGGTAGCTTCGAAGCCGCGGCGAAGCGCGGGCGCTGAAATGAAAGCGGCCTTCGCGTCCTCGGCGTCTTTATGTTGCGCAGGCGAATCCCCAATGCTATCACGGCGTGGATGAGGAATGCCCTCCGCGAGCGACGGGGCGCCATCTCCCTCCTGGGGCGGTTGCGACAGCCAGCGACGAGCAGTGCGCACGTCCAACTCAGCTGGGCATTGCAGAACGACGAACGGACAGAACCGACGCCGACGGTGGCGAATTCCTTGTCCAGCCCAGGGAGCTCAAACGACTCGGCCTCCGACATGATATCATGCCTCGCGGGAACTCCGCGCGCGCCTCGGAACGGCCCGCTTCGGCGGCGCTCGCGGAGTCACCCACGGCCTCTGCCATCGCAGTGTGCACGGCGGCGCAGACCTCGGGCGCCGGAGCCAGGATGCAATTTGTCTCGTTGTCGCTGGTGTCAACGGCGGTGTTGGTATCATCGGTGACGGTCTGGGAAGCGATCTCCTGGTCGCTGTACGGCTGCGCGGGAAGTAGTCGAACTCATAGTCGCTTGTGTCAGCATCGTCAATGGCGTGCACGGTTTGGGCCTTGGTGGTCGCCTGCTCATCAATACGCGACTGCGCGGGGATGCGCCCTGCAAACTGCGTTTCGGCCGCGCGCGAGAGTTCCAGTAGTCGGCGCGGTGACGTGGCGTCTAAAGCTGTGGGCGATATCGAGGTGCTCGAGCTTGCGCTCGAGCGGCGTCGGGACACGATGGCACGCAGGACTGCGCCATGCCTGAGCATGTCCTTGAACGTAGCGGCCCGCGCCCGCAGCGAAGGCGCGCCGCGCGCGGCCATGGGCATCATGAATCAACGCCGAAGGCTCAATACCGGTTGGGGGGAACGGGGGAAAGGCAGCAAAAAACGCCAACGCCGTAGCTGGAGCCAAGAACGGCTAAGGAAGTAAGCGCGCCGCGACTATTGAAAAGATCACATCGTGGGATGTCTGGGGGGGGGGGGTTAGAGGCGGGGCACATCGTCGGATGTCTGGCGGGAGGGCTAGGGCGGGGCAGCTGCCAGGAAGCTGGGGGCGCGCGCTGGCGCGCCCGAGACGGGCGCCGAATGCAATCGGGCAATGCCCCGCAACACATGTTGTTCAATTCAGAGGGCGGCCGCTGTTGGGCAGCCAACCTCGGCCGCAAACAGAAGTCATCGATGGGGGCGCCGACAGCGAGTCACGATCAGTCGCCTGCGCACAAGAATGACCACCCTGGGCAAGAGTGACCATTGTTGCCCGGCTTTCGGGAGCCGCACGGAAGGGGGGGGCAGATCCAAGCGCTCAGGCCAACGCTCGAGTGACTTCTACGGGCCCGCATCAAAGGTCACTCCAGCGAAAGGTCACTGTTACGTGCAGCCGCTCAGAATGGGCAAGAACTGCTGCTGGCCTGGTGGGGGCTTTGGATGATGAGCCCGTACATGAAAAGATCCAGGGTCTGGAAGCTGGTGGAACAAACATTGAGGCTTGGCCGTAAATGACACCGCCACCCTCATCAGATAAGGACTCCTCCAGGGTCTGAAGCATCATGGGCACACTCGGAAATCAACGCCCTCACACCAATGTCTCCGTCACCTGTCGGGCCCTCCAGAACATTTGAAGGGGCCCCAGGACACACAAATACATACACACAAATAAAAATACTCCCCATATTCCCCCATAGTTTCTATGTTTTTCCCCTCCTGAACATCTGTCTTCTGCTCGCGCGCGGGCGGACGCGCGGCGCGGCGCGCGGCGTTGGCACGTGGTGAAAGCCAGCTCGAATCGGATCGGCTGCGCCACGATCCACAGCAACGCCATGTAGGCATCGGGCCGTATCGGAGCGTCGGCAAATCAGAATCGAACTGGAACGGGCCAGCCGAGGTCGACATCGCATCGGATCGATCGGAGTGAACGGGGCCCTGTTGGGCTACAGAACGGCGAACTGCCTGCGGGAACGAGCGCGCGCGCGGCCGCGAGCGCCCGTCCCTGGCAAGGCTGAGTCCGAAACCTTGATTGGTTGTGCAACGCGCTGCGCTGCAAGGCGTGCAAAGTCCGCCGCGATGCGGCCAGCGAAACCCAGTTCGCCGCGCTGCCCCCAGCGATCTGCACACCGCAGGAGGCGGGGGGGGCCCTCCAGAACACGCGACTGGACGCGCATCCAGTCAACGCGGGGACGGCCCACGAAATCGACTCGGGTCGGGCCACCCGAGATCGACATCGAAGCGGGTCGATCGCATCGAATTGGGCCGCGCCGGGGAACAAAACGGCAAACTGCACGCAGCGGGAGGAGGAACAGGGCCCTCAAGACTCAAGAACACGCGGACTGGACGCACATCTGATCAACTTGCAGAGGGCGAGCCGGGAAG